AGTCGACTGCCCGCCGGCAACCCGCTGCCCGGAACAGTGCCCACCAGCGGGCAGCCAGCGGGTGACCCCCACCCACCGGCTACCCGCTGGTCCGTACCCCACCCCGGGTCCCCGGCTTCCCCGTTTGATGTTCCCCATCCCCCGTGGTGTCCCAACGGACCCCGTTTGTCGTGCCTGAGTCTAGTTTGATGTTTCGGGTACCGTTCGTAGGATAAAAGAGTCTTAGGAATTGCATGCTAGTTGAATTGGTAACCCGTGGACCTAGGTGGAAGTTGTATGAGCCCTTAGGAATTATTCTTAGTATGTGAATGATCACACGTAAGTTTATTTATATGTCTTCCCCCTCCCAATGTGCTATTACGTGCTCCTACGTGTTATGTGTTGCATGATCCCCCATTTTGGCTATATGCCAATTGGGTGGTTCTCGGACTAAGGTTCGGAAGTCGGTTGAAGACCGAATGGATTGTTCCCGGACTGAAGGTTCGGAAGTGGCTGAAGGCCAATGGATTGTTCCTGAGCTAAGGCTCAGAAGTGGCTAAGGCCAAATTGATACACTTCTTGGACTACAACTCCAAATATGGGTCTCGGTGCTATGACCCACCGGACCTGAATGCGCCAGGACGGTGTGTAGGGCCAATAAGCCGAGGAAGGCTGTAGTCTACCAACCTGAGTAATCATGCGGTGTGTAGGGCTACGGCTGGCTGCGATCCACCGAATGGTGGGACAGCGGTGTGTAGGGCCATAGTCTCCGAGGATCTTCGCCCACCGACTGAGTATAGCTCAGCGGTAAGCCGGGCTTGATCCGCTATGGTCCACCGACTGTGCGCATCGACGGTGTGTAGGGTCGTAAGTCTCCCCTTGTAAAGGGGATCACGGTCCACCGACTGTGTGCGTCAGCGGTGTGTCGGATCGTGGTCCGACGTTGAGTTCGTCAGCGGTTCTCAAAGGGTTGGTTGCGATCAACTCCCCTCATACCGCGGTACTGAGGTTGGGTGCTGCGGGGCCGTGTTATTGCTATAAGCATTAACCCTCATGTTTGGGGCATGCGATTGGTCTCGTAGCGCCATCAATGATTATGTGATATGGATGGTGATTGGATGATGATGTGTTTTGGAATTGGAAAGTGATCTGTGACCTTAAATGCGTACTCCTTATGATGATATCTCTACTTAACTGATTATTATTGTTTGTTGTGCTTATTTGCTGAGTCTATTCCCGGCTTTTAAAATTAGTGTCTCTTAAGTATATATCTTCCTGCTTCAAAATGGTTTTCGTATATCTATATATATATATATATATATATATATATATATATATATATATATATATATATATATATATTTCAACGCGTTGGAGTTGGTTACCAGCATCTCTCGCTGAACAGATATATTTGTGTTGGTCCCAAAAGAGGTAAGGTGAAATTCTAGAGGGGGGGGGGGGGGGGGGGGGGGGTGAGTAGACTTTCAATCTTTTTCGCACAACACAACAATTGCTAAGCCATAGATAAACCAAAACTCCTAACCAGATTGTTAGAGTATGGTGCACAGCGGAAATAAATAAACATAAAGTGTGTGTGAGATTGTGTGAGCAGTATATCTCATGTAGAGCGAATATGTAAAGAGCAGTATGTAAAGAAAGCAGTAAAGAACACAAGACAATTATAGTAGTTCGCGAGGTGATGTAATCCTCCTACTCCACTTGCTCTTATCTCCAAGAGCAATTCACTATATCTACCACTCCTTGGTTCCAAGATACAATGAATTTCCGTGATCTAGTGCTTTGATCACAAAGCCCGCACTAATCACGCCCAGTGACACCACACTGCTGCTTCGGGTTTCACGTCGTTGTGCTACTATACCAGGATTTCACGACTCTGCGTTACTTTCCCCCCGTCTTCCACACTCTGGTAGAAACGTATCCCGTGATCTAGTGCTTTGATCACAAAGCCCGCACTAATCACGCCCAGTGCCTCCGACACTGCTGCTTCGGATCTCACAGCTCCGTGTGACAATCCAGGATTTCACAGCTCCGTGCTACTTTCCTCCCTTCTCTTGTTTTGCTCCAAAACAAGTGTTGTCTTGCTTCCAACTTCTGAGACTCTGTAGATGATCTTCAATGATGCGCAGGTCTCTTTGATGAAGATAAACACTCTGGAATGATTTCTCTTGAATGCTCTGAGTATTTTCTCTCTTTGAATGTATCAAGTAAAACACTTGATATTTTTGCTCTGTTTTGCTCTGTTTAAGAACTCTTAGAATGTTTCTCTTTTGAAGCTCTCTGAGTTCTTTTTCTTTTCTCACTTATCACTTGAAGGTTTTTTGGTATGCTTTGTACCAAATGGGATTTTTGCTCTATGCTCTTTTAAGCTTAATTGCTCTATTCGATCTCCTTGATGAGTTCGTATTTTCTGCTCTCTTGTTCGTGAGTTCGTTATCTTCAAGTCTTCATATCTTCATCATTTTATAGCTGGTAATGAGAATCTGTCCGTTGGAAAGAGACGCTCTCATTTTTGAAATCTTGTATCTTTTTGTCAGAGATCTTATCTTATCTTCTGCAAAGATGTCAGAAAGGATAAGCTAGCCGTTTGATGGATCTTCATCTCCTTGTAAATGAGCTCCCAAACTTCATCTGATATTCCTCTGGTTTAACGTTGAGTGGGAATATCTGGGTCTCTGTTTTGGTGTAGAATGGCTTCTCTGATCAGCTCTGAAGTGGTCCTTGTATCTTTGGGATTTTAAAATATTCATTAATTTAATCCCATACTAGTTAGACTAGTATTTTTTCTTGTGAGAATATTTTCACTGTAAGTTCATCTTCATCTTCTTCATTCTCACGTCTGGGTGTTCTCAAACTTCAAATTGGCTTTGAACTTCCTCCCAATTTGAATTTCTCCTTTGTAATTGACACCCAATCCTTTGTAATTGACACCCAATTGCAATTGACTTGTAATTGGCACCCAATTTGAATTTCTCCTTTGTAATTGGCTCCCAATTGACTTTGACTTGTAATTGGCTCCCAATCTACTCCTGATGCTTTCAATTGCTTGACTTGTAATTGGCTCCCAATCTACTCCTGATGCTTTCAATTGCTTCCCAATTTGAATTATTGACTTTGACTTCGAAATTGGCTATTGACTTTGACTTCGAAATTGGCTCCCAGACTTCTCCTGGTATTGAATTTTGTCTCAATTCAATTTGATCTCCATGTCTTCTTAGAATCGTTCCCCAATTTGAATTTGCATCCCATACTACAACTTCAATTGGCTCCTAATTTCAATTCTACATTGGCTCCCATCTTGAATTGATTCCATGTGAAACTTGCTCCCAATTTCAATTGACTTCAATTTCTCTGAAACTAGCTCCCAATTCCCTTTGAATTTCTCTGAAACTAGCTCCCAATTCCCTTTGAATTGGCTCCCAAGCGCAATTGCCCAAGCGAATTGCTTCTCAATTGCCACCCAAGTGAAATTGCTTCCCAATTTTCACTTGTAATCAGCTCCCAATTCCCTTTGAATCGGCTCCTTCCCAATTTCCCTTTGAATTGGCTCCTAAGCTAATTGCTTCTCAATTGCCACTTGTAATCAGCGCCCATTGCTTCCCAATTTCCACTTGTAATCAGCGCCCATTGCTTCTCAATTGCCACTTGTAATCAGCGCCCATTGCTTCCCAATTTCCACTTGTAATCAGCGCCCATTGCTAGACTAGCGCCCAACTCCATCAGATTTAATTTAATTTGGCTTCTCAAATTTTACCTTGTAAAATTATTGATGGTGAAATTCGAACTTGAGCCATTTCACATATTATATCAAGCATCATCCACTTCATTCGTACAACTATTGATTAAATCTCCAATCTTCTTTGATGTACTCCTTTCTTTCCATAGATGCTTGATCTCCAAGTCAATTTCATGCATTCTTCCAATCTTAATTTTCTTCACGAAAATTCTTCTGGGATATTTCTTTAAGTAGTAGCGACGTGAATATTGTATCATTCATCTTCTTCTTCAATTTGTCATTTTCTCCAGACAAATTCTTAATTTTAGGCTTTATATCTTCTTCTTCTATTTTCATCCATCTTCCTCTGTTTTTCTCTTTTCCAATTTAAATAATTTCCCGATCATGGTCTAAGACTCTACTAGACCTAAGAAATAAAATTGGGGGATCTACAAATACATATTTGGCATATCAAAACCATTACACTTTATTCCTAACAATTTGGCTTTCAGGCACGGATGAGTGTCACTGGAGCGCGCTAGATATTGGAAGCGTAGAGTAGATAGTTCCCTTTCGGCCTGCGTGCCATGCTTATGTATTGACATTATTAAGGATTTTAGATAGTTAGCCTGTGCACATGAATTTTCTAGCTCAGGTGTGGCATAGCACCCCATACTCTTATATTATACTTTTGGGAATTAATGAGAATTTACCTTTATTATATAAGTCTTAAAAGTTGAAAAATTTCGGGGTGTTACAATTATACCCAAGTTTCACATTTGAGTACGATGTGGACGAGGAAAACCAGCTACGCAGGGTGTTCTGGGCAGACCAAACAACTAAAACACACTACAAATGCCTCGAAGATATGGTGTCAATCGATGCAACGTACCTAACCAACAGGTTAGTTATAAATTATTAAAATAATATACACCAGTTTAAAGAGAGTATGAAACCTGAAACCTGTGTGCACCTCAGCCTATATATTGTGCCAGAATTCACTACGCCTTGTGCCCCTACTGTGCAAGGAAAAATGTAGCGAATACCGCCTACAATAAACATTGAACGACTGGAAAATCAACACAGCGACCTAACACTCACAAATATGTGCAGGTACAAACTGGTATTTGTGCCATTCATCGGGATAGACAACCACAAGAATTGCATAACTTTTGCGGCATGCCTTATAGCAAAGGAAGACATCGCATCTTACGTGTGGCTCCTAGATGCCTTTAAACGATGTATGGGGCACGCACCAACATGTATTATAACGGACCAAGACCCGTCAATGAAGGAAGCAATGCCGCAAGTGTTTCCAGAAACCAGGCACCAATTCTGCATGTGGCACATAATGACCAAAGTGGGGGAGAAGGTTGGTGGGAAATTAGCAAAAGACGAAAAGTTCAGAAAGGAATTAAATGTAATCGTCTGGGACAAAACCTTGGGACGTGAGGAGTATGAAATACAGTGGAACACATTAATGACAGAGTACAGCCTCGAAGAGCACAAGTGGTTCAAACAAATGTACGAGATTAGATCAAGTTGGATAGAGGCATACTACAACGACGTGTTCATGGGAGGGCTAATGCGAACTACATCCAGATCAGAGTCAGAAAATGGACTATTTGGGGGCTGCATCAACACACATGGAACATTGTTAGAATTCTTCACCCAGTTCGAAAGCGCAATCGATATGCAGTGGCACAACCAAGCACGATTAGTCGCAGAGTGCGAAACATCTTACCCACCCATGAAGACACCACTACAAATTGAGAAACATGCATCTTCCCTATACACCAATACAATTTCCTACGACATCCAAACAGAGATATTAGAAGGAAGTTTCTCATGCAAAATATCTAGAAAGGAACAAGCAACTGATCACGTACTATATACAATCCAAGAGGGCAAAAAGAAGAGCTTCACAGTACAATATTATAAAGAGAATGAGACAGTGAGATGTTCCTGTGGGAAATTCACTAGGGTGGGAATATTATGCAGACATGCGTTTGCAGTACTGAAGGATGATGATGCAGAAGTGATACCAGCAAAATACATAATACCAAGGTGGACACGGAATGCATGTGCACACAACCGGTGATATGAACCTAGTCCAAGGTTCAAATAAAGATGGAATATTGTCCCAAGATTAATCTCAATACAAAGATAGAGATGGATCGAAATACCTTATACCTCACGAGAAACCCTTTGTCTCGAATCCTCAAAGACTTAGAAGAATCCCATGTAGCTTCAAGTACCTCGATGTTGCAATCTTCAATCAACTAGAGTCGGATCTAGTTTCCTTTGATTCAAGAACGAGTCCACGAACCTAAATCTAAGGTTGAAGAAAGTAAGATTGATTCGAGTCCACGAATCAATTTGCTAGTCGAGTCCACGACTAACCACTAATTGAGTCCACAATTAGCCATAAGGTTTCTTACACAAGTGTAAAGAAAAACTTAAGAATTTTATTGAATTAAAGCCTCCCTGAAACTGATATGGATGTGCCCTATTTATAGGTATAGGCGCAGCATTATAATTCTAAATACAATGGAAAAAAGAGTCCTAAACCTAATCTAGAAAACAAGTAAACAGAGTTTTATTTAGAAAAGGATTTAAGGAATCCTTTCTAAATACAACTAGTGTTTTCTCTTTTATGCCAAACAATTTAAATTAATGATGACCAAAAATAATAGGGCTGATTTGGGCCTAATTTAATCACCAAAATCAGCACTTAAACAATTATAAAAAGCATTGAATTCTTCTTCATCTTTTGCAAATGGGCTTGACTTGGATTTTCACCATCTTTGAATATCACCAATGAAGAGTTGTCTTAATTGTTTGGACTTGGGCCTTGTGATTTGCCCAATTGGTACTCTTGATGGATCTTCATTATGTTGGGCCGCATCAACCGGGCCAACGGCGACATTGAACAAGGAGGATCAGACACTACAGAAATAGAAGAGAAGAGACTAACAGCTAAACTATGGAGTGAGTTTTACTCTTGCATATTATTATCTGAAATGCAGGAGATGTTGGACTGGATACTAGAGCACAAAAATAAATTATTGAAGACCAAAGAGAAGAGACATGATACAAATAACAAAAACGAATTACTGGAGACATTTTATGGCACACAGGCAACAACAGCTGTACAAGTGAAACCTCCACAAGTATCAAAGAACAAAGGGAGTGGAAAGCGATTAAAGAGCACATGGGAGAAGGCACAAGCAAAGAAAAGAAAAGATGGACGCACATGCCATTACTGCGACGAAGAAGCGTGCCATGACAGCCGGAACTGCCCGCTAAAGCCACCAACGGGAAAAAAAACAAAGACCAAAAAGAACGGAGATCCAAAGAATTGAAACTACAGAAAAGGGGGCACACACCTTATTAACTAGTGCACAAATTATTTCCTGGTAGGGCACATTACTATTAGCTTGGATTCCTGTAAGAACATGATGTTTTATTAAACAAAATATTACGCATTATCCGATAATAATTACACACATTGCTAAAAATCGTGTATTCAACACCCTACTATGCATTACCCTAGGAAAACCACACACCGTGTTAAAAATAAATAAAAAAAAAAACCAATACGCAATTACAAAGTTTTAGAACAGTATGACAGTCTACACCCTAAAAATATTACGCCCAAAATGCCACGACTGCGAAAGAATAAAAAAGCACGGACCAAACCCAACGGGAGTCCAAAGAGATGAACCTACACACCAGGGGCACACACATTAACTAGTGCACAAAACAGATCCTCGTACGCCACATTACCAATAGATAAGATCCATGTTCGAACATACAGTTTAATTCAACATCATAATATGCATAATCCAAGAATAATAACCCGCTTTGATAAATAAATAAATAAATAAAACCACCCCAGGAAAACTACACACTTAGTTTTTAAAAAAAAAAAAAAAAGCCACAAGAAAAGTTACGCCAAAAAGGTCGCAACTGCTGCATAATAGAAAAACAAAAACCAAAACGAGTGGGAGTCTAACGAGATGAAACTATAAACAAGGGCACGCATTCAAATAGACAGTGCACACAAGTAATCCACGAAGGGAACATTACAGTCCACCAAGATCACAGATAGCACCACGGAACTATTTAGCACCACCACACGCAAATTAGGGACACAAGGCACATATGAGCCGTAAGCTGAGCACACAAGGAAAACCACTACCTCCACATTTAACATAACCTCCCAAACTGGCAAGAGACAAGATAGGCACAAGAACTAGACAAAGAAACACATAAAAAGACCAACAACTGAATGCCAAAATTGTAGGCCAACAATAGATTAATACTCCAAAAAAAACCCAGCAACTAAGATATACACAGAGTTTAAGGGTCAAAACAGTAACAAAACGACTACGAATACAGAAATCGTGACACTGCACAAAATACTAAAACCCATAAACTACCCAACAAAATAGTCACCCACCAAAAACACTATATAACTACACTACGGCCCTACTTCCTCCTCCAGAAACATATCGCACTGCATTTGCCACATTGCTTGCACGGTTGGCATTGATATCTGCAACGCAAATCGCCTTCAAGTACTGAAACCGCAAGCGCTCAAGACCAGCTACGTCGCCTTTAACTAGACCACACTCCCATCTCGACACCCCTTCACCAGCATAAGACTCCATATGGCGCATGGCATAAACACCACTGTCAACTTTGTTACGCGAGTCACGCCACTTCATCTGCATCCTCTTGGGCACTAAATGAAAGCACAAACCCTGTTTATACCCCAGGCCAGCAGCTTTGAAAAACTCGAACAACAATAATTGCTACAAAAGACAACAAATGATCATCATCTACCACCCCAAAAACAACGCACAATAAAAACCCCCCAGAAAAAGAAAAGAATAGCAACACAACGTACCAGATTATCAGGAGTGTCACCATACTTCTTCGAAGTGGCCTCCGTCGAAGCAGAACTATCAATAATTTCAATGTGTTCATTCACAAAGTCCACACACACAACATAGAAAAGATTGCTTTGCATAACCGGGAGAAACAACTGGAAAATAGTTTACAAGGCATAATAAAAAAATAACCCAAAAAAGCAAGTAAACGAGAACAAAACTATATACGAATACAAAACCCCCCAAGAGGCACACAACCACTAACAACAGTGCACACTAACGAGATTGCCCTACCACCATGGCGTAAAAGGGCACACAAGAACAATGCAAGCAGCACACACCCACTAACAACAATGCACACTGCAAATAACTACCCCCTAACACACGTTTAAGAGAGACGACAGTCGTAAGAAATGCACACAAGATTCACCTCCCCCCAATGCTTATAAGGGGTGAGGGCGAGATGAGCGGACAAAGCAAGAGAAAACAAACGCACGGCCTCGGACTGTGAATCCAGAGCAAGCCCACCAATATCAAGTTGAAAACCCAACAACAAAATCCATAAAGTTAAATGCCGGCAAAAACAACCTAGGAAATCGAGAGAGAAAAACAAGAGACCACTAACATACAAACTTACAGTGGAGGAAGCCGAGGCAAAAACCCGCGATGGTGCACCAGGACTCTTGCCAAACTCACGATAATTAAAGATTACAGACCAAGCATCAAGCACTGCAACACTAACAGCTGACCCTGGAGCCAACGACCGTAAATCCCCACGACGTACCACGCAACCACCGTGAGAAAACAGCACCTCATGCCTAAGCCATCACCATAACTCAACAAAGGGGGAAAAAAACAACACAAGGGAAACTGTCGAACGACTAACAATTAAACAAATACTTACAATGCGTCGTTACCACACTCCAACACCCACTTGCTGATCACACCATCATCAACCACATCAACTGAAGGCAATGGCACATCACCATATAGATCCGCTGCACGGATAGAATCCGGCACAGGTCGAACCGGCCTAACAGCCTTCAACGGGGCAACACAGACCGGGGAAGAATCACGACATGGAACAACTTGCTATGAATTTGCAAATAGATTAAACAGAATTTAAAAAAAAAAAAAAGAAGAAAGAAAGAATATGAATATAAATACCAACCAAAAGCACACATTTACCTCAGCAGGGGTATCAAACACATGTCCAGCACTACCCGCAACCACATCACTATGGCCCGGAGCTCCCTCATCTGAACCCTGAGCTAGAGAGGCAACTGGCACATGATCCCCATGGTCTACTACCACCGGGACAGCCCCAACCACACCCAAAGGACGAGACACCTGCACGTGCTCACGATAAACTTCTTGCACACAGTTCAAATGGCCGACAAGAGCAATGAAAACTTATTTAAAACACACACAAAGCGACTAGAGTTGTGCACACATTTGAAACAAAAAGGGCACAAACAGAAACCACCTACGGCACACCAAAAGTGAAAGACCAACAAAGAAGCAAAATACCTGCCCCGGAGGGTCAACACCCACACCAAGACCACTACTTTGTTGATTAATTCCCATAGCAATATCAGCACCGGAATCCACAGCACCACCACCAAACTCTTGCGTAAGCCCAAGACTAAACGATGGCATATGATTCAATAGAAGCCTCGCCATAAGGGCACGCTCAACCTCAGCCAACTCACGAACATTATCAGCATTAGCCCAGAAATCATCATCAAACAGAGACAATGTGGGCTGCGAGGCGGTGCCATCGGAGTCCAAAGGTATGGAGGGCTGGGGTTTTACACCAGTAAGCATCTGACCAACCTCAACCAACTGGAATAAATTCGCATCAGGAGCAGAACATACGGCTGCCTCTCGTCCCAACTCCACAAGGGTAAGTATGCTCCGAGAAATCACCCCAATCTCATGAGCATAGCGCTCAACCAAAGACTACAATGAAAACAAAAAACAAACAAAGCAACAGATAATCAAAAACACCAAATCACTAAAAGTGCACACACAAAAAAGGACCCGAGCATATAACACTACCCTAACATACCTTGCGCAGGCAACCAGGAGGCATAGAAGGACCAGGCGAACCCCCTAGATTGACCGGTGCTTCCACACCTGGATCATCACGATGTGCAGCCTGATCATGAACCACATCAGCATCCACACCCTGGACAGGTTCCAACTCACCAACCCCAAACCCCCCAGCACGAATCTCCGACAACTCCCGCTCACGCAAAAACTTGGAAGTCCACCCTCGAAATGCTGGAATAGCACGAGGAACAACACGAGGACCATGCCGAACCTGATCAAAGTACAATAACTAAAATGAACACAAAAACCAAAATACAAACAAGGCAAACACATCAGCCAACAACGAGACATGGAATGAAAGCTATAAAAATAAGGTAGAGGGCTTAAAACTGAAACAAACTTACAATCAAGAAAAAAATGGGGCCAGTAAACCGGTGGTCGTTAGCTACACGCCATAATGCATGCGTAGAAAGAAGCTCCTCAATAACAAACCGACACCAATTCAAACTACCAATCGCAGAAACATCATCCAAGTGGTGAAATACCATCTGGTTACAATACCCATTATTCATGCAAGATATGAGGGAGCTAATGACCAACACCATAAAATGCCGCTTAAACCAGTCCCCACCCTCAAGATCGTCCCGAATCCACTGGGCTACCTCCATTGGTTTAACATCATAACGATCCTTTTCAAATGTTCCACGCCAAGCAGTCAATAACTTACTCTTCGCGTGCCGAGCACGGCGTGTAACCACCACTTCCCCACAAGGGAACCCCATGATAGCTGCAACATCCTCCTCCCGGACCTCTAAAAACTCACCCTCACCCAATCGAATAGACCGAGCTTGGGGGTCAAAATTTAAGAGTAACCATCGGCCCAACCGAAGAGGCATCTCCTTAATCTTGAGCTCCAGCAACGAACCAAACCCGAGATCACGAATATCTTTCTTCTGTAGAGACGTAAGATCCGCCAACGCCTCAACTAACTGGACTAGAGGGACCCTAATTTTGGCACTTGGAAATCGCAAACTCTCCTCCGAAGTACATTTAGACTGCGGAGCAGCAACGACAGGTTCGTCGTCCACGGGATCCAGGCGATCAGCCTCCGGGGCATCACCGACAACCTCTGGGGCATCAATGACAGCCTCTGGCTGCACACTATCCGCGGAATCACCCTCCGGGGCATCAACAATAGGCTCTTGAAGCACGGGATACACATGAATAGGCGGAGGGTCAACAAAATCATCATCATCAATAAACCCCCCAGAGGAACAAGCCTGCAGAGGTCCATCATTTGCCTTTTTAGCTGCCACCCACCAACACAGATAGACAAACTTAATAAAAAACTAAACGCCAAGTGAACAACACATCACACACCACCCCCGTACATACAAAAATGCACAAGGGCACACAGAACTACAAACCACTGCACACAAAAAAGGCCACCGAAGCCCACAAACACACCGGTCTAAAATATTATGTAACTATTATACAATCAATTCTTACTAATAACACTTTGAATAATTGTAATATACAAAAATAAAGCAACCGGGAGAAACAACTGCACAATAGTTTAAAAGACATAATCAAAAAATTACCCAAAAAAAGCAACTAACCGAGAACAAAACTATATACGAACACAAAAACCACGCAAAAGGCACACAACCACTAACAGAGAAGTTTAAGTTGTTAAACAACAATTTTGCTGCTGCAATATCACCAACAAGAGGATGACGGTGAGCAACAACAAACCAACTACCCTAAACTTCGAACAAACCCAGTACACATTCATATATAGTTTAATTCCCCCAAGTTCCAGCCTAATGAAAACC